TTCCCTCGGGATAAATAAAGCTTCTTGAATCTTGAATCTTGAATAAAATGTGTTAATTGCCAAAGTTCATGATGAAATTAGCTCAATAATCACGGTGTCAAATCTAAAGCACATGACTGTATTTCTTCCTCTAACGATGTCCGACAGGCTCCTGTTTGTTCCTCAATCATCCCTCTGTGTCACACAGACTGAGTCAAAATAGTTTCCTGGAACTAGAAGCTTTGTCTTTGCAGTGTTTTTATCCACATATGTTCCAGTAACAACTATTTACAGACAGACTGTTCCTTCCTGCTGAGAGATTCCTGCTCACTGCTTCAACCACACTGAGACAAAACTGACAGGAAATGTTCAGAACAGAACACGACTTTTCCTCAAACACACACACTTCTGCTGTTAGCTTTGGCAGCAAACAACACTGCGACGCACGTAGCTCCACATACCGGTCTGATTGCTGATACTGAATCTCAGGTTGAGGGAGACGATCCACGGCATCGCCCACGGCACCGTCTTCATGGTCAAGGTGCATCTGTTGCTGTCCAGCAGGGGGAGCAGAGGGGACACGTCCGTCAGCCAGCGCCCGATACCTCTGAAAACATAATGAGAACATATCAGATAAAACAACCAGATCCTAACAGCTCATAACCAAGCTGAAATTTAAAGACTAGTTTTCTAGTCATGGAAACACCTGGAATTGGATTAAAAATGACCAAAAATCCTGGAAATAATTGATGTTGTCCTGAAGTTTTGAAGAAGATCAATTCTACTTTATCTGAACTTCTAGGCTGTGGCTGTAATGTTATGGTGAGAGGAAAACTGTAGTAAAACCACCAGAGACCACAGCGGTGAGAACAGCCAAGCTCGCCACAAAGGCGAGCTAACGCAGAGTGTCACACATAAAACACTGACTACCAACCTGTAATAAACCTGAGACATTCGTTAAAAAAGAAGTCAATATGAGGGTTAAAACTCCTGTAAAATGTCCTGGAATTGACATTTAAATCATATTAATAAGAATATTTTGATGCCCAACTACACAATGTTCAGTGAAATGTGCACAACAGACAAAACTCTTCACACACCATTAAATGTTTGAATCTTAATCTAAGAACGTTCGCCTGTTCTTTAACGCACACTAATTAACCAAAACATGGGAACAGATTGTATTTTATTGGGCACATAAAAGCGTTTCAAGCGCTCATATTTTCATTTCAATACTTTTAGATTTTAAATTTAGACTTAAAAGGTTCAAAGGATCCACAGACAGCACAGATAGATGCATTTAAAAGCTGTGTATTACTAATATGAATAGTAATTATTACGTATTTGTGGTTTTACATCAACATCTGACCTGCGGAAGGCCGTGATCCATCGGCCCAGCTCCATGTTGCAGTACGGGCCGAGATGATCACAGCAGATAAACAGCTGCACTGTGTGATCCCAGTAAGCGCAGGACAAATCTCTCTTCCCGGGACAAGACAGGGACGCATCGAGCTCCAGCGTGTTAAAGTCCAACAAGCCTGCAGAGAGAATATAATGTTTATATATCATTAAAATGCTTAATATAGCTATTGTTGT